AGAGGGTATATAATCCAAGTTTTCCACACACAATCTCCAAGAGATATTTTATTAATCTATCCATACCATCAACTGCGGTGTTGGTTTTCATTACATTTACCTTTAATGTTTTTAATATTATAGCCACTAAATGTTTAATAGCACATTGCTAACGCATTCGTGAGAGGGTAAGAAAAAGTGACGAAATGAAAATCAAATGTTTTAGATTCTATTCTGTTTTTACTTCACTCTTTCTTTTAGAGTTCTTTTGGTTAATTGTCTCAGACACCAAAAATAACTGTTTCACCACCCAAATTCTTAATTCAAACACCCTCTTCTCTGACTACAAATTCATCTTTGGGCATGCTTTTCAACCATTCCTATCTGATTGTTTCCTGCTCTCATAAGATTCCTTCTTTCAACTCTGAAGAAAAATCCAATTATGTCATCTTCTTTTACGTAACAATCTAATGGTTTCCTCCACTGTTAGAATAAAACAAAATTTGTACATGATGTAAAAAGGGGTTGTCTCATCCCTTTCCATATTTCCATACTCCGCTTCCTTGTCTGTTATAGCCACACTGGTCTTCTCTTCAACCCTTTGTTCTTTTCCCTTAATCCACTGAGACTACACACACCTCACACATGCTGTTCCTTCTCCCTAAAATGTTCTTCCCTTCACTCCTCACTTAGTTAAACCTATTCATTATTTTGATTTCAATGGATTTTGATTTCATCAAAAACACTTCCTTATCACCCTATGTAGGTTTAATCCTATACTACAGATTCTCTTACTACCAGATCTCTTTCTTGTCTTGGACCTAAAGTTGCAATTTTATATTAAATCATATGATTATTTGATTGATGTCCTTTTTTTCCCTAATAGAATGTAAGCTCTGCTAAGGTAAGGTCTTTGTCTAAACTTACTAATTACTGAATCCTCAAGACATGTTTGCTGGCATGCAGCAAGTTCTCTGTAAATATTTGTTGATCAAATAAGAACACAGGAAAATTCTTTCACATTTCTCAAGATAAAGATATTGCAAGGCCTTTAACTATATCATTTCCTACCAGACACATGATTATAATGCATTCTTTCACCCAAAACATAGCTAGAGAAGTTTTCCATAGAGTACAAAATCCTTTTTCATGTTTTGTATTCCTTGGCCTTTTTTGTTTGTTTTCCTTTGCTTTACTTGCAATCCTAACATGGGTGCTTCGATGATATATGTGAATGAAATTATATAATAAGTATTTGCTCTCAGATTGTATGGAGAGAAATAATGTAATTTCTTCTTCTTTAATGTTATTTTCTCTCTGTTCATTATACTAACACGAATATTGTATACTTACTACCAGATAATTCAATATGTCTATGCTTTTTTTGTATCTCTGTTTCTCATTATTTTATTACTATGGATATTACCAAACGTTGTATTTTCCATAAGAAAATATTAAATCTAAAATTACTTAAAATTTTATAGGATTACACATGGAAAATGGATCCTGATGGTAAGCTCATTTAAACCCACAAATACCATCTATTTTAAGGTGAAATCATTTTAAAGTGTTAGATGAGTAATACAGCAAAGCAAAATGACTTGAATTTTTAGAAGACACTTATGTAAAATAGTAATGATCACTGTAAGAGAACAAACTGCAAAAGAGGGAACATGAGTTTGCAAATGATCTGCATTGGTCTCTTACCAAAGGCTTCTCCAGCCATCAGGTCAAACTCATGCAGCTGAATCAATTCAGGCTGTGACTCTGCCAACAGCTGCAAAAGAGGACTGGTGAAAAGATGGAAAAGGTGACCCAGAGAAGGTTTCACTGCTAAATAATGAGACCTTCAATCAAATACCAGCATTTTAGAGTGAAAAAATGTCAAAAATTATCAAGTTCAAAGCCATTACTTTGTACATTTGAAAAACCAAAGTTGGGAGGAAAAAAGCAATATGTCCAAAGGCACAGACCCAGTTGACAGTGCAGCCAGGTCTAAAGCCCAGTCTTCTAGTGCACAGCCATGTCCACCACACTAAGCTGTCCGTTCACATCGGTTCTCTAAGATTCTTTAGAAAAAAAGAATCGAGCAATACATCTCAGGTCCAGACCCCTTCAGTAACTGGAAAGCCAACATTTTTAAAATAACAATAGCATGGACCAGATCCTATTTCCCTCTGTTCACTTAACATTCTTTGAATTTCTCAAAAGCATGTAAGAAATATTTTTTTAAAAAGACCTTTTTTCCTCTATAATACTGTTTCTATGTCACCACGGTTCTTTTCTGGGTTAAAAATGCTAATACAGGCTTTCAGGTGGTACTTTCCTTAGGTAAATTTCTGGCATGTATGTGCAGACATTGACAATAAAATTCATAGTAGGATGCTACACTGGTATATGCATAAACGAGCTCTCCAAAAAAAAGAAGGAGGGAAAAAGACCTGATTTGCAAGGCTGAACAATTTCCATGGTATAAATACTCTCACCACAACCAATTTTAAGGCCCCAAGTCAGTAATGACTAGCATATAAAATTTATGAATATTTATTGATTGGTTCTAGTGAACAAGTCAGAGGGAGCTCAGTCACACCAGTGAGATGACAAGCAAACCTCAAAATAATCAAACTCAATTCACTCTTTTATAAAGTGGAAGCTGAGATTGAAAGAGCCTAAGGATTACATAGTGGCTGAGCAATTTCTAATATACAGGATTCCACTTCAACTACCACAAAATATTAAGTGTAACTTTGTACATGAAAGTCAATGGTCTTATACTATAGTAGACAGAATATTTCTCAAAATACGGTCTATAACCATATGGGAGCCTCTTAGTGATGTATATTCATGGGATCCACCCCAGATCTAGTGAATCATAATAACTTGGACCCAGGAATCTGTGTTTCCAGTAGATTTAGGGCAATGGCAAAAAAAAAAAACTTTCCTTGATACCTATAACCAAAAAAACCAAACTCACTGCCATGGAGTCAGATTCGACTCATAGCAACCCGTCATTGGGTTTCTGAGGCAGTATCACTACGGAAGCAGATTGCCCAACCTTCCTTCCAAGGAGTGGCTGGTGGGTTTGAACCACCAGCCTTCTGGTTAACAGTCAAGTGCCTTAGGCATGCCACCAGAGCTTCTTTGATATCCATAGTATGTTTTAAATGAATGCAATTCACATAGAAATCAAGAATAATAGACATAATTCCTATTCACATAGCACTGTTTAAAGGAGGTACTCCATCTGATGCTTCTATCATATAGTCTGTAATCTTTCACATTTTTTAAGACCTAATTTTCCAAATTAGTTGAGATTTTGCTAACAAGAACAACCAGAAAAATGAGTTATTTACCTTCCAACACTCAACCTTAACATTTTTTAGATCAAAATCTAATACATAGTTGTATGTCTTAGTGTCTTAGGCCTGTCATTTTCATATTCTTTTTTTTTAATAACTAATTTTAAATAGGGAGCTCTGGTAGCGTAGTGCCTAAGGCACCTGACTGCTAACCAGAAGGCTGGTGGTTCAAACCCACCAGCCACACCTCGGAAGGAAGATGGGGCAATCTACTTCCATAGTGACACTGCGTCGGAAACCCAAGGAGGGGTAGCATGAGTCAGGTCTGACTCGACGACACATAACAACAACAATTTTAAATAAATACTTTTCAAGGTTCTGCCTTAGCTCTTTGACAAAACAAGACAGTCACTAGCAACCTTGCGCCTCCACCCTAATCCACATATTTTCTTGGCAGATGATTATATATATGTATTTGTGTTTTCGTTTATCTGCCACTTCCTGTTGTTTTGGTATTTACTCCCTGTCTTAAAATTCAGAACAAAGGCAAATAAATACTGTCTGCTTTGTTTTGCTCTCTTAATATTTTAGAGGTTGGAAAATTTACAAAATAAATATCCTCTGAACCTTCTTGTAAAAGTATTGCAAAAGAGGGAAAGAAGAATTGAGTAATAGTTTCCCAATTCTCAAAAATACCCAGCTAAGACATAATCTAATGACAAATCCACTGTACTGATACTACTTTAAAAGTAATCAGACAGCAATATAAAAATATAGTTCTATAATTCTTAATTTATATATTCATTATTAATTTTATTTGGAGGGTAATCGTAAATGTGTCTAATTTATTTGCATAGAAATAAAAGAGTTAATAAAATAAGTGTTGGTAGATAAAAGATAATGAAACTCTTCTGGAAGGGGATTTAATCACTTCCACATTTCCTAACAAAGACAAAGCTAGTTGGTGAGTGCAGTTCTTGGCCTTGAGGGGAGATGATTTCACTGGGCTTGCCAATAGGTGTTTTCCAGGAACTGGAGAAAATGTCTTGTAATTCTCCAAGTACCTGTCTCTGGATGGACCTATAGGAGCCGAGATGCTACAGTGGTTAAAGCACACAGCTGTTAACCAAAAGGTCAGTGCTATGAACACACCAGCTGATCCACGGAAGAAAGATTTAACAGTTTGCTTTCGTAACGATTTATAACCTTGGAAACACTATGTGGCAGTTCTCTTCTGTCCTACAGGCTTGGTGTGAGTCAGAATCGACTAGACAGAAGTGGGTTTAGTGAGTTTTTTGGGTTGGACCTACATTTACCAAGCACTGGCCAGAAATGCCCTGGTACACAGGAGGTAAGCATCCTGAAATCTACCACTTCTGAGTTTTGAGATTCACCTAATACTTCTCAAGAAAAGCTGCTTCTGTCATGAGATATGTCACTGGTTCCATAAACTACATGGCTTTAAAGCCCAACTCATATTTTTTCACCATCCTTTAGGCCCACTGATATCTGCTAAAGAACATTCACTTTCACAACAAAAATTAAATCCTCATTCATAAAATAAATTCAAATGTCAAGTTTAAGTTCTGTTTATTTAGAAGAGTCTTCACCAAGACATCAATGAGTGGGTACACTAGGTGAAATAACCAATTCTCTGTGGACTGAGTCCCCATGGGCAAGTATGTGGGTTACAGATGGTACACAAAGTCGAAGTGCACTTACGGTTGGCAAAGCTTGATTAGGTCCTGGTCAGTGGTGCCTGGCGGAAGGCCTCGAATGTACAGGTTGGTTTTACTCAACTGTTCCCCGCTGCTGTTGCTGCTGCTGTTGTTGCTGCTGCTGTTTGTGCTGGGGCTGGGAGGAGCCATGGGGTGGGGAGCTGGTGCATAGGACTGCTGGAAACAGAAAAAGCTGTTACTGGAAAAACAAAGCCAGCACCTGTTCACAGGCCCGCAGAACAATTCCAAAGCAATGCAAGCCTCTTGGCCTCTCCAATACCCACACAGACACACACACATAGACACAGCACACACACGTATTTAGATTACTACCATCTGTTGATTCAGAGAACATCAATTACTTTTTCCCTTCTCGTCCTGCCTTTGGATCAGCATAAGTCAGTCATAAATGGCACACAAAAAAGTTACCAGGTACTCCTGTAAGTAGCATATGGCTTCTAAGTTGGTCCCTGACCACACTGTGGTTCTCCTGAGACCTGTATATTAAGATGTTCTCTCCCTCCTTGATAAAAGAAACTGGCTCACTCTTGGCACCAAAGCTACTTCTCTAACTTATCTTTAATAGCTAAGCATCTTCAGTTTGCTCTATTGTTTCCCTCACCATGACTATCCAGCATTCTATAAATAATAATTATATGAATGAATGAATAAATCCATCCTAGCTCTTTCCCCTGCTCTCAACAGTGTGTCTTTCCATTGAATGTCCATTGTTTGAAAGACTAAGCCAAATTTCTTTCCTTGGATTCTCTTTAAATTAATCTAACAGGAGGTTCTGAAACTACAGCATTATTGACAATTTAGACAGGAAAATTCTGTTAGGTGCTGTCCCATGCACTGTAGCATGTTTAGCAGCATAGCAGCATCCTTGACCTTAACCCACTGGATCCAGTAGCATTCACCCCCAATTGTGACAACAGAAAATGTATTCAGGCATTGCCAAATGTCCCCTGGGGAACAAATTTCTTTCTAGTTTAGAACCACTACTCTAATCTGTTTTATGACAAAAAGAAAATGATAAAATGACTCACAAATACTTGTAATACACAGGATGAGGATGTTTATAATTATATATGCCATCATGCCATTATTAGTAAATACGTATATTCATTTTACTTTATTATTTAATGTTGTTGTTGTTGTTGTTGTTGTTGTTGTTTGCCGTCGAGTCGGCCCCGAGTCATAGCGACCCCTCCATGGGTTTCCGAGGCAGTATCACTACGGAAGTAGGATTGCCCGGGCAATGATGGAAATGGAGCTGACTACGGCCTTGCTCACAGACAGCTGAACTCTTCTGTAGAATCCCACAGTAGCTTCCCACTGAACTGAGGATAAACCGGTATTTATTAAAAAGGCCTCAAAGCCCCATATGATTCTTTCTCCCGCTACTTCTCCAATGACAGCTTAGACGAGACTCAATTCTCCTCCAAACCCTGCACCCTTTCCTACTCTCAGTCTAACTCTGCTCAGGTGGCTCTTACATAGCCTTTCAGTCTCTCATTACGTATCACCCTACAGCTCTCAGGGATTTTTCTTCACAGCATTTAGCATGTTTGGTACGTATCTAATGTGTTTTGGATTACTCATTTAATAACTGTTTCTAGCTCTAATCTATATATTCCCTGACGGCAGGAACTGCAAACCTTTGCATAAATAGCCTGGCCTCCTACCTGATATATAAAGCAAACAAACACACACAAAAACCACTGCCATCAAGTCAATTCCCACTCATAGGGAATCCCACTGGGTTCCTAAGGCTGTAATTTTTATGGAAGTAGATTGCCTCATCTTCCTCCATGTGCTTCATGGAGGTAGTTTTAACCACTGACTTTCTAGCTAGCAGCCAAATGTCTTACCCACTGTGCCACCTGATATTATTCACTCACTGCCGTTGAATTGGATCCAACTCACAGCAACCCCTTCTTGGGTGTCCAAGGTGGTATCACTATGGAAGTAGATTACTCAACCTTCCTTTCGAAGAGGGGCTGATGGGTTTGAACCACCAGCCTTCTGGTTAGCAGTCAAATGCCTTAGGCACTACACCACCAGAGCTCAGCCACAAAACCTCTGAAAGGTTCCAGAATAATCTTTTCCCCAAATTATCATTGTCTCCCTAGACCTGAGTCTGAACCATTTCATATGTAAAGGGCTTCCAACTTTTTATCTGGTCTACATGACTTCAGGCTTCCTGGTGTAATAAGACAAAACAGTCAAATGGACAAGTGCAAACATAAACTGGCCAAGAGTATACTGGAAGTTTATTTATTGACTTTTTATTTTTTTTAAAGGAATTGAGAGAAAAGAGACTTGATGGAAAAAGAGCCAAACCCAGAGCTCCTGACTCCCATCTTTTTTTCTTTTATTTTAAGAGCTTGTTTTACATTCAACGTTACATATACATTTAGATTCACTCCCCATTCACCATATCCAACCCTAACCCAGTCTCCTCCCCTCCCTACCCTGTAACCTTCCCCCTGTGCCCCTCATATTTACGCACTCTTGTTTGTCCTGCATTTCCTCAATTTGAATGTTGGTCCTCTGATGCCCCATGGTCCATTGGTCTAAGGGATGTCTTACCCATAGAGTATGTGTATGCATCATCTTGGGTTGAGTGGTCTGCATGTACATCTTGTTAACTGTTGGGGTGAGAGTCAGCCCCTGGGGGAGCATTTTATTCCAGGTGCAGAATGTATTTCAGGGCGATAGTATTGGGGGTCTCATCAGATTTCATCTGACCAGTAATTCTGGCCTAATATTATTGAGTTTTTGGATTTTGTTCCACGTTTTCCCTCCCACTCTATCCAGGATCTCCAGATTTGATCCTTTCTTGAGTGGTTGGCACTGGTAGCCGGGCACCATCTAGTTCTTCCGGTCTCAAGGGCAATTGTGTCCTATGACTGATTGCTTACAAAAGGCCTTGTTTTTTTGTACTCTTCTTTGCTTCTGATGGTAGGAGACCATTAGCTTCATCTTAGATGGCCACTTGAAAGCTTTTAAGACCCCAGTCACTACTCACCAATGTAGGATGCGGAACAAGGCTTTTATGTATTTTGTTGTGCCAATTGAACCTGGTGTCCCCCAGTACTATGGTCCTGAGACGGTAAATCTACTGGATCTCTCTCTCACAGTGTCTGGTTGTCTGTGAGGGATTACTCTGTGTCTGTCTTCTCTTGTTTCTGTAAGGATTGCAGGTATTTTGTATCACTGGTGCCTGTGCAAGATTAGCCTCAGCTGAATCTATCCTTGCTGTAGAGTATACTTCTATTCACTGACCCCCATCTGATTTTCTCAGGTTTTTATGTGTTTATCTGTAGCCTGGTGTTTGGTGTTAATGGCAATGCAGTATTGTGGACACATTGGTTGGTTTTAGCATCAGTCATCTATCTGTTATGTGCACAATTCGGTATCCTCCCATTTCCTAATGTTATCATGGTGGTCACAGATCCTTTCTATATATTCCTCCCTCTACCCATGTCAGCATGTCGACCCCAACTAGCCCAAAATTAATCTTTCCCCTTCCATCCCCATTCTGGTAACCTACAAAGTAAGTTCCCTTTCCCAAGCAAACCCTTCTCTGCCTTTTTAGTAATGGGCTCATACAGTACTTGTCTTTCTGCAATTGACTTATTTCACTCAGCATAATGTCCTCCAGGTTCATCCACGTTGTGAGATGATTTGCCTATCCCTCACTGTTCTTTAATGTAGCATAGTATTCCATTGTGTGCATGTACCATAATTTGGTTGATGGGCATTTAGGTTGTTTCCATCTCTTTGCTATAGTGAATTGTGCTGCGATGAACATAGGTGTAGATATGTCTGTCTGTGTACTCTCACCTCTTTAAGATATATTCCTAGTAACGGAATTGCTGGATCAAATGGTACTTCTATTTTCAGTTTTTCAAGGAAATGCCATACTGTTTGCCACAATGGTTGTACCATTTTACAATCCCACCAGCAGTGCATAAGAATTCCAATCTCGAGTTCCGGCAAGATGGCGGACTAGGCAGAAGGATTGCAAAGACCCTCTTCAACAAAGAAAAGGGAAACCGATTAACACAGACACAGAAGATAATCTTGAACCCCTGAGCCTGGAAGGGAAGGATACAGAATTGGACTAACCCAACTAGCAGAAGAATTTGTGTGAAAATACCAAAAAAAGGAGACATACGGAGCTGCGGTCTGACAGCAAACAGAGTGACCCTGAAAGTACAGGTGGCTTGGAGATTCCCGACTGGTGGTAGGACCTAAGAATTAACCTTAAAATCACCCTGCTATCCAGGGACTGCACGGACTGTGCACGGTGGCTGGGGAAAAAACAGAGAAGGTGAAGAGAAAGGTGGGCTGAGTTGTGGACTTTTGCCAGTCCGGAGGTTGCCGCCATTTTGTAGGTTTAAAAAGTTGCTTGACTATTTTGCATATTTAAAGAGACAGTGCTCTCGCAGATTCCTGTGGTGGTAGGACATAAGAATTAACCTAAAAATCACCCTACTAGCCAGGGACTGCATGGACTGTGCACGGTGGCTGGGGAACAAACGGAGAAGGTGAAGA